TGGTTCGGCCCCGCCTAAACTTGTCGCGCAATTAAAATCCATAAGCACCTGGAATTTCGGTAGGTGCCTTGAAGCTGGTATTCGATTTCGTATTAGTGCTTGTAACGGCATTACCATTAGCATCAAAATCTATTCAAAACCCTATTGAACCAATTGGAAAACTATCCATAACTAACAGAAATCTAATTCGTTGCAATTGAAATCGATTTAGAAACCCAATTGAAACTGATCAATGCCTAATTCAAATCAATTGGAATCTAATTGCAACTTACGTAATAAAGCCTAATCAAATTCAACTGGAAACCTAACCACTTGAAAGCAATTGAATATCCAATGAAAACAATTTTCGAATCTGATGACACCCTATTCAAAATCAAATGAAACCCGATTCGAACTAAGTGAAATTCAATTCAAACCAATTGACATCTAATTACGATTTACTTAAAATCTAATCAAATTCAAACATTCACTGTATGTCCCCGTAGCCCGGGTACTTGTCAGAGCGTAAAGCACTGCGTGTGTTGGAGTTCTTAGATTTGGCACTGAATGGTTTGCACTCAGGAACAAGATTGACACGCGTAAGGGAAAGTAATGGATCCCGACACACAAGCGGAAGCCTGGACTAGGACTTTTGCAGTGTCTGCTCTGTTTGCACATGCTGTATTTGCTCTTCTCGAATGGCAAGCTCTTGCAGGTCTTCTCCCCAGACTCAGCAGAAGCGGCCTTGGCCAGGGTGGGATGCCCCAGCCAAGTGATGACCAGACCGTGGATGCTGTATACTCACCTCTACGGTTGCCTTTGGTCAGCTTAGACATGCTTGGACCAGCTGCTGTCAGACTTAGTTGAGGGGTATATAATATATACTGTAGACTACGCAGCCTGCACAGGAAGCTGATCCCAGACAGCCTGGGCCGTGGCAGATCCGAGCCCGACTCTTACTTGCTTTTTGCCATCATCGTAGAATGTCGCAGAATGTCGGAGAGGCACACCCAGCTTGTGCTATGCTTGTGCTCCTGAGCCCTAGCGGCCCTAGCTCAACGAGCCTGCGCTGGCCATCCATTCGCGGCGGTCCAAGCACCTCACCGAAATTCCAGAGGCAAGCAGAGAGCCAGCTACTGTACACATCATTTGTAGGAGCTCTTATCCGTGACTCGAGTTTGATGAGGGTGGATCACATATAATTCTGCTTGCCAGGCCTCTCCGCTCTTTCAGGACTGTGAGGCTCTAACTGCCCCATCCTTGAAGCTTTTGTCTGTCGATTACTGTGCCAAGATAGTATGTTCATCTGCACTGAGGTTGCAGTACTTGAAGACTCTGCACCCTCTCGCACAGTTACCTTCCTGTATGAAGGCCAGCACGCTCAGAGAGTGGTAAGGACAAGCTGTGAATGTTGACATTGCAGGTTCGAGCGGAGAATTGCAGGCGTTGGGGACCTTGCACATAGCACTGCTTCGCAAGAGTTTCAAATCTTGGGTGGTGGCCAACACGACAAAGGCCAAGCATGCGGCACACGCATGGACAACAGCAGTCAGCAAGTGTTAAGCGAATTCCGGCAAGAGAGCGAGTGGGGAGCCAATTTGGCCAAGGGATGGATTTGGGTGGACAGGGAAGGCAGCCACAGCATTTGGCTGCATTCTGTGCATTTCGTGTTCCCAGCTTGATCTCCACTAGCCGTGATGTTCAGCTAAAGCAGCTCTTGTCTGGCCAGGTGTTGTCAGAGCACCCATTGGCTGGAGACTTCAGACTGCGCTGGCCTCGACTCCATGTGGAGCATCGTGGTGATGAGCTGATCAGACATCATGTCACCAGGCTTCGCCCGAGATACGGCAAACGTCCAGCATCCCCGGCATATTGTTTTGGAAGCAGAGGCCCCCGCATGTTCTGAACGTACATGAGGTGTACCGCCGATCAGCCCTACAGCCTTGTGGACCTGGGCCCCTCGGATGGCTAAAACATGTCAGGGAATAGAGCAACGTTTTTTCCAGGCGTCCGCAGCGAGCGGGAATGTAGGCCTGACTTGTGTTGTGCGGATATCATTTGGTTTTTGTTTGAGTTGGCAGACAGTGGTGGTACATGAACATGGCTCGCTAGGGTGCTAGATCAATTCAAGGCAAGCGATGGTCAGGCACAGCCTGGAAATTGCTGATGCTCGCGAATGTCATGCTGAGAAGCCATCATGATCCGCTCATGAGCGTTGCTTGAGAAGAACGCAATGGACGAGCACAATTGTGGCAACGTGCGTCTGGTTCTCGTGATCTAGGCCTTCCTCATTAAGTCACTTCACTCGACACCACCGAGGGTCAGAGGAATAATCCACACAAGATGATGCGGCATAGGAATGGAACGCGCAAGGACCGACATTGCCAGCTGTGCACCGATCAAATTTATTCTGGCTACGTGACCCATGCTGATCCTAATCGGATTGGACCATGCGCATGAAGTCCAGTCGGTTCGGTGCATCTCGAGCTTGCCTGTTTGTGGGCAGAGAAGGGCAAGTACACCTTCTCGTGCAAACAGTGCGCAGCCGTTTTACGCTGAAAGAGACAAGCGTTGAATCAAATGCTTCCATTGAAACCTCACCTTCATGCAACAATACTGTGGAGGGAGGCTTAAGTGGGTTTCCGTCTTGCTTGCTGTATGGATGATGCTGGAGTGGGTCAGAAACCAACAGCTTGGCTCCCCACATACGCGATGTACCCCGTACAAGGCCGTACAAGGCTTGTGTAAGAGGGAGGCTCGTTTACACGGCAACCCCCTCCAATAGTGTCACATTATTCATTTACTTTTCTTAGCTTCCTCATAAACATTCCGTCAATCGGCAACGCAGGTTATCTAGAAAGACTTGCGTGTCAGGTGTCTTCAGCAGAAGGCTTTCAGCGCATGCCGTGAGGAACAGGGTTTCGATTTACCTCTGTGTCAGGAGAGAAAAAGCAGCGCAAATGTACGGACAGACCTGACGCCTGAGTTTGCATTCAGCAGAAATGTATGCAAAGGAATCAAGCATATATAAGCAGCATCACAGTTGTGCAGTCGCAAGCGTCTGTGTTTGTTGCTGATTGGGTGAGCCGCTGACATCTTGAGGCCAGGCCTACCAGCTCAGCAGGACACCCAGCTCCACGAGCTAATGACTGCAGACACGGCGTAGCGGATGGTTTGTGGCATTTGAACAAGAACCTGTTTGGAAACACACAACGTGAGGCCCGGGTTGTTTCTCTTCTTCGAGCCGCGGCTAGGATATTGGGTTGCCGCCTTCTCAGAGAATTGCTTTGCTTTGTTGCTTTGCTTTGAGCTCTCTGGCACATCTGCCAAGACTGGTTCAGGTGAGTACAATATCCCCGCTTGCCTCCAATCATGCTGTTGCGCTCGAACCTTACCTCGTCTGACCGATGTTTGAAACGCACAGGGGATGTTGCGCATGTTGTGCGGCACATTTGCGAGCGCACGCCAACCGTTGCTAGAGATGTTCCTTGATGGCACCCTTCCTCCCTCCCACCGATGTCCGCTAAGTTGTTGGTTTATTTTGGCTTATTCAAATGCATGGCGGCTGGGGTGATGCCTAGATGTTAGCTGGGTTCTTCTCCTTGTTTGGGTATGCTCGTACTCATCAAGCCATGCCTTCGCCGATCTGCTCCTGAGCTATGAAATTTTGAAGTTGTTGCTATGCGGCCTCATCCTATGAAGGTTTGCCAGACCCGATCTCGCAGGTCGTTTTGGTCAGGTGTGGACTGGTTCCAGCTGCGCAAAGATGCTTGCCTCTTCCTCTTGTGCCAGGTTCTGGCCAGGAATGGCCCTGATTGGACGTCTATGCTGCCAGAGGCCATTCCTTCGCCATGCACGGCCATGAAGTATGTTGAGGAATGCAGGTCAGGCTCGACATGAACAGGATGCACGGAAGTGGCATGCTGCCGACAACCAGGACCCGTTGAAGATGAAGTAAGCTTACAAACTGGTTGTAAAAGAGTATCCAGGTTCCGGGCTCCCAGTACCGCCTGGGCCCGGCAAGAGCAGCGGGCACAGATGATGGCACGGCATGTCTCAACACGCAAGCAGCCACTGCCACGAACTGCAAACAAACGATGCTGCAAGGCTCCACCCAGTGCTCTGCTGTCTGAGCAGCTGATGTACTTTGACCTGATCGGAACATGACTTTGCAGTGCGAGTGCCTGGGCTGGTTAATGACTCAGTCCCGCGAGGCCAACTCCATGGCTGCGTGTGGTGGCTCTTGGTACAGATGCACCGCCTCAGCTCGTTTGTTTCAGCGGGCTGGGTGACAGGCACAGCACTCTTGCAAGTGGCATGGAAGCAAATCACAGCGTGTGGAGTGACCGCCAGGCTACACACACTTAATGGTTCATACCAGCTGCTGCCAGAGTCCATGCGTTGAGCTAGGTTGTTTGCATTGCTGAAAGGCAGTGCATCAGCCACATATGCAGTCCGAGCTCAGGTGGGCGTCCAGGCCTGCCTGGGTACGCACGCTGGCCTCCCTGCTTCGATTCTTGTGGACCATTACTTCAGCTCCTTTGGGACATTCCACCCAAGGCCCTCGTCAGAGGAGGCGCGCCTGCCCGTTTGCAAATGCTGGCTTGTGTACTCAGAGTTCAAGGAGGCAGAGTTTCCCAAATACGTCTTCTTCTGGCCTGAGCCGCGTGACAGCAGCAAGCAGAGAACTCTGCAAAAGATAGTGCGCTGTGCTTAAGGACAGGCCACTGGATTGTAGGCCCAGATCTACACGCGGCACAAACAGGCCTGAAACCAGAAATGTCCTCTCTTGGCAGCTCTGGGACTTCTGCTTTTCTTTGGGCATTGCACCTTCAGGACTTGTGCGAAATGGTCCGGGACGATGGGCGGCTCAGTCTCCTGACCACTGCCCAGGCGTGAAACACCAGTCACAGGTTCAGTGGGATCAGCGGGCTTGACCCGTAGGCCGATGGGCTGCACTGAACGGTCTATGCTTCAGGTTACATGTGCTGGGCAGCGCTAGTCTTGCGGAACCGCAGAATCCTGCAGACCAAGCTGAGCCACAGTAAGCTTGAGATGCTTGCTCAGGACAGTCATTCTCGGAAGATCCGAAGATTTTTTGCCGCAGGCAAAGAGCCACAGCCTAAGATGCCTTGATTGAAAAGGCATGCAAAAACACTTGAGCTTCAGGCAAACGGAGTTGTGGAGACATTCGGTCTATCCTGCACAGCTCTGAAGTGCTTGGCAAGATGTGCCATGCTGGATGCGCACTCTTTGCGTCGCGGATTAGGTCCAGCTTCTCCTCGGCAGAGACATGGCCTGAGTGGTTTGTGTCTTGTGCAGCTCTTGCAATGACCCGGCTGAGCATTTGGAACAGGCCTCGGCCCGCGTGCGAAGGCAATGCCACTGTCGCCTAGAAGCACTCACAGGCCAAGAATTTTGTTCCCTTAAGGTGGAGTGAGGAATGAAGCACGAACAACTTTATGGATTCGCTTCCTGAAAGTGGTGCTCAGCTTTGCATCTCCTCCTTGACCACACTTCCAGTCAATCTTTAGAAGTCCCACTCGCGTACCTGACATAAGAAGGAAATTCTTGATGCCTGCACCGATTTCTGCTGCTCATCTCTGAAATTCTAACCATTTTGACAAAACTATTCATCTGTGGAACTTGGGCCAAAGCTGCATTCCAACAGCATGTTCACATTCATGGCAGAAAAGTGCCCTACCCAACCAACCTACATTTTCTGCACCAATGGAAACCATAGAAACCATACAAACAATGGAAACCATCTAAACCATAGAAACCACAGGAGCCATAGAAACCATGGAAACCACACAAACCAAAGAAACCATGTAAACTATAGCAGCCACGCAAACCATGGAAACCATAGAAGTCATAGAAACCGGGCCAGGAAAACCATGGAAACCATAGAAACCATGCAAACCATAGAAACCATAGAAGCCATAGAAACCATGGAAACCATGGCAACCATGGAGTCCGTGTGGACATCCGTTCCTAATTGAAACCAATTCGCGGTCTAAATTGACCTCGCTCCCATGTAACCCAGTCATGTCATGCTCCAAGGCCCGCTTCGTATATGCCTCCATAATGTCCTCTGCACTCATACAACGCAGCTAGAGGTCACAACTCACAAATCACAAAAGGAAAGCCCTTGCTTTTGGCATCTTTTGGCAGCAAGGAAGCCAGTGCTTAATGAAACCAAGTCCGCCTGGTCCACCCTGCATTCCCTCGTTTTCTTTCGTTAGGGTCTGGAGTCTTCTGATCCTTGCATCTTGATCTACACCGATGCTAGCTTCGAGCAAGGCGTGCTAGTCTCGGCTGGGTCATGTTTCTCAGACCGCCCTACAGGCCTTAGGGCGGCACATGCCGAGTGCCTGACGATGTCGTGGCTTCCTGGAAGCCACGGCAAGCAGCAAATCTTCCCTGGTGAATCCTTGTGCGTGCTTATCTTGCGTTTACTCTTTCCTGAGGAGCTGCAGAACCAGGATTGGGTATGATTCTTGGATAACCAAGCTGCCGTTTCGGCAGCGGTTAAGGGTTCTAGCTCTGAGGCAGACGTGTTTGAGCTGGCCCACCTGGCCTCTGTTCTTCGCACACGCATGTCAGCCCGTGCTTGGTTCGACTGGGTGGATTCAGACTCCAGTGACGGCTTGGGCCGTGCTGGATTGGCTAATGCTTGGACATCCCGGCAACCATGGCTCTTGCAGGAGTACACGTACCGGAAATCGGGTTATCGTGACAAGATCCGAGAGGCTCTGTTGCGCATGGAGTGAAACAGTGGGTCCGGAGATTGCTGGGAACTTTAGGCAGGGAGTACATGCTGCTGAAGTTATCTTAGCTGCCTTCAGCATGTTGTTTGCTCTGTGAGCATTCAGAAGTTCATTGTACTTTGTCAATGACTTGCTGGTTCTCCAAGTGTCTTTGACGCTTGGTCAATCTCCTTCCCATGTCCTCTCCGTTCATATCACTACAAATGTCTCATATTCTGG